CATAGAAACATACATATATTTAAAAAATCACGTTTATGAATAAGTTAAGTACCTTTATCAGGTCTACAAATCTTTTTTCCACTTATCTTTCTGTATTCAAATTGACATATTATAAAGGATATACTTCAATTATATTTTGTAACAAATTATAATAAATGTTTTCTTCCTGTAAAAATATCACAAAGCAAACCAATAAGAGGGTAGTGAGAACAGCAAAGATCCATGAGAATAGCAAAATGCAATTGAATAAATTCGATTACGTCCGTATTAAAGCATTGCCTTCAAAAGACAATATTCTTTGTGGAAAACCTTTTGTTGTCGCTTGCCATTTCAAGGATGCTTTTAATTATTGGTTTGTACAAATATCTTGGGTTAGTGCTACTTGATTTAGTAATGTTTAGTAGTATTATTATATGCAAAACCCACTGTTGAAAAAAGTACTAGACAATAGAGTAGTATCCAACGTGTAATCTCTAACCAATTATAGGTATCGAATATTTGGTACGTAGACAATCATAGAATGGTGTTAGGATTAAAGAAAAATTGAAATTGAGAAAATTACCCTATATACTTGAGAAAATTTTGTTGAAAATTACCCTATATTACCTTATAAATCAAAGACAAATTATTAATCAAAGCTTCACGCTCACTTTAATTAGCTTATTCTACAATTAAATTTAGAGCATGAAATATTTAACCAAAAAAATAATGTCTGTATATTATTAAGGTATATATTTTGAATGTGAACTTTAATGCTTAATGAATACTATAAAACAAAGTAAAGATATAATTTAAAGTTTTAAACTCTTCAGTTTTGTATTAATCAATCAAGTCTTGGATTAAAATTTGTTCTTAAACAGCTATTAATAATAAAATATGGAGCTTAAAACCTCTAAATATAATCATAATCAAAAATAGAAAGCTATTACAATATATATAATCAATGAAAAGAAAATAATAATACAAAAAAGAAATTAATACATCAATTTATTAAACCTACGTTGCGTATATGCTTCCGTGTGTCCAATGTCCATCACGTTTGAATGTGTTGTGTGTGTGTATTCATTAGTCATGCATTACGTGGTTCAAAGCTAAATGGAAGTGTGTCTCATACTTTCATGCATGACCCTTTTTTTTGTTTTTTCCCAAATTATGTAAAGAACAAGGGGAGAAACAGAGTACAAGAGACAACAGGGTCTCACAACAAAACAAAACCAATAAAACATCAAAGCCCTAATGAGAAAGGGTGACCGATGTTTAGAAGGAAGATTTTTTAGCTATGCGATCATTAAGCTATGAAAAACCACCAAGTGCAAGGTAGGATTGGAAACCTTTGGTTCCAACTCGATAGCTTGGACAATCGGTAAGGATTTGGTGCAGCTTAGCATGCAGAGTCATAAAAACCAAAGCAAACTCACTCGCTTTCCTGGAATTAGTGACTAATTTCGCAATTGTCCGAACTATGATTTGGAACCAAGGGTTTGAGATAGATATTTAGTTCGAGAAATACATATGAGTATGTATATGTCACTAACAAAAAAAA